TACTCTGTCTATGAAAGTTTTCAGTGCTAATTGGCGTGAGCGCCCTCGGAACGGTGCGCTGCGTCTGTCTGAGTGATGAAGGAGGCAGTTGCCATAGCAAGGACTGTTTTTATTGACTGCTTAAAGGAAAGAGACACATAAAACCGTAACTGAGGCCAGAAAATGAATTAGAAAAATCCCTGGGTAGCTCTAACTTGTACTCCAGCTTGTTTGCTTGCCTTTTTTTTTTTTTTGTTTCCTTTAGACTGCAAGTTCCCTACTCCTCATAAAATAGCAATTACAACCAGGGCAGCAGTGACCCGTTACCCTCCAGGGCTCGGCAGAGCTCTGCCTTCTCGCAGCCCGGGGGGGCCACAGCCCCCAGACCCTGTGTCCCCAGGCTTTGTGCCCAGCCTTTACATGTCCCCCGGGCAAGTGGCAGCCACTTTTCCCTTCAGACGTTCTTAGGGTTTGGTCCAAGAGGATGCCAGCTCTGTCTCTGTGCGTGGGGGAGGCCGTGCTGTCTCTGTCTGCCTGTTCCCCACCCCTTCTCCCGGCAGGAATTCCAGTTTTGGCCACTTTTGACGGGCTCAGGACCCAAGGGGTTGGGAGACGGGGCAGTGCCCACTCCCATGGGCAACCCAGGACCCTCAGAGAAGGTCTCCATTGTGAACACAACTGACCATGAGAACAGAGCCCGAGTTTGGGTCATTTTGAGGCACAGGGAATACCCACGGGGGTTCCCTCTCACGTGGTTTCATTCCTCTTCTCTCAGCCTCAGCTCAAACGTCCCCCTCAGCTGCACCATTCCAGACTTTTCTTCCCCAAGATTTATGGGCAGGACTACATTGTCACTCCCTGCAGGTAAGAATATGACTTACAGAGCATGTACGTGCTGCATTAATGTGCTCCCTACTCCCATTTTATTTTATTTAGTAACACATGAAGATCCCTAATTTAATCACCATTTACTGGCTACCTAACTCAACCCAAAAGACCAGAATTCACTAAAAGCATTAGAGTAATGATCAGACACTAGCTCAAGCTCTGATGTTAGCAAAGTCATTTAATTTATCACTCTATCAATTACAAAAAATAAAAATGTCCACCTAGAAATGGTTCAATGTCCTCCCCCCAGGCTCCTGCCTCCCCCCAGCCCGTGGCCACTGAGCTCAGTGGGTTTGTGGCCCGTGGGGGCTGCAGCCATCGACTCCGGCTTCGTGCTCCTTCACGGCACCGTGGGGTGCGTGGGTTTGGGGCTGCATTGCCACATCCTCAGTCCCACCAATGCCAGATCCAAACCCAGCTCTCTCCGTAATGCCCACGTGGCGCTTTGTTTCCTCTGTTGCCGATGTGATTACACAGATAAATAATTCCAGCGCAGCCGTGCTGGATGAAATCTTTATAATGACAGGTACAGGGAAATTCCTCTGCCCAGATTTACTGCCACGTGCTGCTCTGCCACTCGGGGCCATAAATCTGGCTTCGTCTGTAGCCAATAGCCACATTCCACAACCGTGCCTTGAATGTGCCCGGGTGTCAGGCTGTGATGGATGGCTGCACTCCACGGTCACAATCAGCCATTGCCAGAAATTCACTCACTCTCTTTCTTTCTTTCTTTCCCAAATTTTCCCAGTACTTCATATGTGAGTTTAACATCCAACGGCACCTTCTCCGGATTGTAACTGGGGCCATCGTGTGATGCTTCCGCTTAGAGCTCCTGGTCCCTAATGAAAACGCCAAAGAAAGACAGTGCACTCATCAGTCACAAGCCCATTTGGCAGATGGGAATTCGTTGCGGTGGTGGGACCCCTCACCTTGTGCCAGGTGTCCGTGTGATGCCAGCTTTATAGCGGATTTTGGCACTGAAAGGATTATCAAGCCTTGGAATGGGCTGCCCAGGGAAGGGGTTGAGGCACCATCCCTGGAGGGATTCAAAAGCCGGGTTGACATAGTGCTCAGAGACATGGGTTAGTGATGGGTTTTATCAGAGTTCGTTTGATGGTTGGACGAAATGATCTTAAAGGTCCCTTCCAACCCAGACAATTCTATGATTCCATGATGAGATGTTGTCTGTCATCTCACACCCAGTAGAAGAGTGTGAGTTCAACATCAGTGCCACCTTGGCACCCTGGCCAGGACAGCAGGGGTTCGGCCAGGCATTCCTCCTTTCTCCACATCAAATCTGTCCTACCAAAGGACACAGACTTCAGATTACCACCCGCTGAGCCCCTGCCTGCAGAGCAGATTAGCTCTGTGTGTGTAGGATCCTGCTCCGCTGCGAGCTGTAACATCATTCTCTCGTTTTTCCTGTTGTGTTATGATCAAGGGCTGCTGTTAGAGAGTGTTTGAGCTCCATTCATGATGCACACGCAGAAGAATGTTCCGCCCATCGTTCCGGGAGTGAGCTATCCAGCTTCAATGAAACATGATCATTTCTGCTTCAAGCAAACGAGAAGAGACTTTCTATTTTGCACATCACTGAGTTCTACGTTTTGGCATTGTTTATTTTACTGAGCCTACATTACAGAATTAAAATATTAATATTTTGGCATTATTTAGTTGGTAACTTGAGTATGTGTCTCATTTAGATGAATTTCCCAGGAGGGAGATGTTTCAAAGACCCCATCAGAGAACAGAAATAACTTTATCTTTTAAAGTTATGGAACATGCTCTCCCTAATTCCCCATCACAGGTTTCAGTGCCACGTCTCTCAGAAATCACCAACAGTGTCCTCATCACCTGCCAGTCATCCCACAGCCCCTGTTCAGCCCCTCTGGCCCTATCTCCCAGCTCCATTTCTTCTTCTGTGGGGAAGAACTTGTTTGGTGTGAGGGTGGTGAGAGCCTGGCCCAGGTTGCCCAGAGAAGCTGTAGCTGCCCCATCCCTGGAGGGGCTCAAGGCCAGGTTGGAGGGGGCTTGGAGCAACCTGGTCTGGTGGGAGGTGTCCCTGTCCAGGGCAGGGGGTTGGAACTTGATGATCTTGAAGGTCCCTTCCAACTCTAACTATTCCATGATTCTATGACCCTTGCTATGAGGGGAGGAATGCCTGCCCCTGGTGTTTGTACCCATGACATTTGACCAAATGGGACCAAAACCATGAGGGCTCGTGTTGGGAAGTGTGGTTTTTAGGTGTGCTTCTCTCCCATCCTGACTCTCCAGGCAGGGATGTGTTTTAATAACCCTCCATCTCGCTGCCAACTCAGCCCAGGAGCTCCCTAACACAGCCCCGAGCCAAAGGAGGGCAGATTTCCCAGCGACAGGTCTGAAGAGTTACAGCCCCTTAAATCAAACCAGGAGACAGCATCTGAGTGGGAGCCCCCGCGAGATGAACGAGCTGGCAGTTCTTAAAGAGTAACAACGAGGTAATAAACAAGATTAACACAAAACTAATGGAGGAATGGAGATAAATACCGGGAATGTCCATGTAGTGTGGGAGGGGGTTGCATGCCAGACCCCTGGCAACGTGTTGGAGACGGGAGTAGGTAACTCGTACCTACTAAATCACAGCCATAAATCCCGCGCCGCGTTAATGGAACGTGAATGATCTGCTCTGAAATGAATGGGAAAGAGAAAGGGAGTTCACTGCTCGTGATAAAACGAGCTGCTAACCCAAGCTGCTCCTTTTTGCTGAGGAAGGCTCGTCAGCGATGGGGATGGGTGTGCGCGGGGCAGCCAGCCCCCCAGTCTCACAGAGATGCCCCCTGAAGAAGGCTGAATCCTCAGGGTGGCACAAAAATATCTCCTACAGCTGCTGGTCTGAAAAAAAAAAAGGAAATTTATCCTGGCAAGTTGACTCCAAATTACATAGCAAGGCCAAAAGGAGGTGAAAATTGCCCGTTCCTTCCCTTGCAGGCAGAGCAGATCCCTTCCAAAGCCGAGCCAGCCCCCACCAGCCCCAAACCCGCACCCTGGGTTTGCCAGGAGATTTCAATGGGTCACATCTCCGGGTACGGTCTGAAGGCTGAGTCATTTTTGGTTAAACATTAATTAAACAAAGGAGTTTATTGATTAATAGGTAGACTTATTACTAAAAGCCTCTCCAAAGGAAAGGAAGATTTTGTGGTGATGGCACAGGACTGAAGCTTTGCAGCTCTGATGCATAATTGCCCTGTTATTGTAAGTAGATCTTGAGAAGTTCCTTGTCCTTCACATTTATTTGGACAAAACCCGGGTAAGGTAAGGGACAGTATCTTCTATTATGTGACCTGATGCTCTTGGAAAAAGGAGGCAAGCTTTTGAACTGCCAGACATCATCAGATCCCAGCTCTGCCCGCTCCTTGGGTTCCAGTAGCAGTGGGTCTGGAGTGGGTTTACCTTCTCTCCACAGACCTTGGGGCCTCCTGGCCACAGAAAGTGGAACAAGAGGGTTATTTTCCTGCTGCTGTGGAGCAGCTGAGTGTGACTGTGCAAACACGGGGCTGCAGCCCAGCACTCATCGAGCACGTCTTTATGAGCCTCCACGGCTGGAGATGGACACGGAGCTGGTCACGCCGGGGCCATCCTGGCCAAGGGGGTGCCAAAGGGACTGCCATGTGGTGCTGGGCTCATGTTTTAGGCCTTTAACCTCGTTCAATACTTGGATTGAAACCCGTCGGTGCTCTTTGGTCCTTACAGCCATTTGAGCAAATAATGGAAACTATTACGGAGGGGATTTTGTCAGCCCCTATGGCACAGAGATGCCTTTCATTTTTAAGTGCTGCGTGGTTTCAAGTTGCAAGAACATTTGATAAACTGTAGCTAAACTATAGGGAAATAAATGCTTTCTTTTAAATCCATAGTTGTTTTTTGAGCTTGTGAGCAACCAGTTAAGCTAGATGGATTCAGAAAGGCCCTACAGTGTTTTTCTGTTGAAATACCACATGATAAACACCATTTTTCTTGTGTCCCTGCAGAAACAAGAGAGCCCAGGGTAACATAAAGTTTTTTTTTACTTCCTTCCAACAATGGCACATTTCTTCTTTTAGAGGCTGATTAATATTTATTACTATAGTAAATGGCAACTTAAATATATGCTAGCAGTTCTGCAGTATATCATTAATTTAGGAAAACGGGACACCTACTATCAAACCACAACAGGCCCTTCCACGCTGAGTAACGGCGGTGATATGGGAACCTTTTAACGGGAATCACTGAAGCATCCTGGTGGGGATGGAAAGGGCAGCACGTCGCCAGCAGAAGGAGATGATTCCAAACCAAAGTGTAAGAAAGTGGGAAACCAGTCACAAGCTGAAGAGGAAAATTAGTGTTCTCCTCATAAGGGCGAGTGAGGGGACTCCTTCCTCCTCTGCCCAGCCCAGGGGTCCAGGGGTGCATTTGACGGGGCTGAGGGGCCTCACTGCTCTTAAATTCTTCTGAAGTGGGAGCTGGGAGAGAGACTTTGGGAGCTGTTTTTCAACTAAGAAGATACTTTGCAGAGGAGGAATCTTTGTTTTCAAGTATTTTTCTTTTTTGAGATTCCTGGGTTGTTTTCAGATGTGCCTTTTGAAAAGTTAAGAGAGGACTCTTAGTGTCAAAATGAAAAACTATTTAATCCGTAAAACTACATACCAGACTCTGAAGAGCGGGATCAGATAAATTTAGTTGTACTTTGTTAATGGCTCTATTTTTTAACTATAATGATCTGAAAATTGCTTTTTGTTGCTTTTGTGTTCTTGCACTTCTCAGTAAAGGCTGGGAGTAAAGCTCTTCACACCATAACCTGCCGTCCTCGCATCAGGCCCGCTCAGACAGCCCGGTACAGACACACACAGAGGGTGACACAGGTACATGATGCAGGACCCAAACAGGAGCCACCGCTTTATTCACTCAGGCACAGGATGCAGGGTAGGGTTGCTGGATCAGTAGGTCTCTGCTTAGAGAGTTACAGCCCTGAACCAAACCTCTCCTGCCCCCGACGGCTCTGCCCTGGCTCAGGCACCACAGCGGGCTCCCATGGCCATGGTCTCCAAGGGCTGCTCGTTGCCTGCCCTTCCACCCTCATCATCTCCACCGCCTTTCCCACCACCACGCTGCCGGTCAGTGTCCTCCAGACCCATCTGCTGATCTCCTACGTCAGCGAAGCACAGCCCTTCACCCCAGGACATCCTTTCGGGGACCTTTTTTGGTTCCTCTCTGCACGCCCACAGCTTTCTCAAGAGGTTTTGCCTCATCCAGATACAATTTCCTCCTCCCCAGCTCTACCAGGTGGGACAAAGCCGCTCCCCACCAGCCTGGCCAATTGGGCAAAGGACGTTCACTGGGCGATGGAGATGGGGGGTGGCAGCCCCATAAAGCTCTCAGTGCTGGTTGAAGCTAATGCCAACCACGGAGCTGTGCCCATCACAGCACCAGTCCCTCCGGAGCCCGGAGGATGCTTTGGCTCAGCACAGAAGACCCTTCCCGACGGGTCTGGCTGCTCTGGAATGACTTCCTCTGAGCAGCGTGGCCAAGGCAGAAGTGAAAGAAAAAAAGTCCCTGATTCAAAATAAAAGGGCAAAAAGGATGATTCATTTTCTTCATAAACACCGTATGTCATTTCTTACTTTATAGATCTGCTCACGGAACTTGGAGGCTCGGACTGATACATGATTTTGGGAGCTTTACTCACTACAAATATCTTTTGATGATGAAACTGACTGCGTAAAGCTCTGGAAGAAAGACCTTGCATGAATATGGCCAAATTAGGAAACCCTTATCGTAACAGCTGTGTTCATAACCACATGTATTGCTGGTTTATTTTTTAATCTACATTACTGGATCTATTTTTGACTACAAACTAGATGACTCATTTGATCACGGCCAGTGAAAAAAACATAGTATGTTGCCACAAAATACTTCTTAGAGTTGATGCAGTATTTTTTTTTTTGCTTTCCACTGCAATCATATATCTCTTTACAAACAACCATGGGCAAAATCAGCCCATTCAGGAATTTGGCTTGCTTTATTCAATAACCAAGGAGCTGCCTGGATTTAATTGTCATTTGTCTGCCTTTTTGATTAGTTTCTTCCATTTATTTTCCTGTTTTGTTTTTTTTTTTCTTTGATTGCTCTGCTCTTACGGAGAGCCCAGGAGATGAAAACGTCTTCAAAATATTTCAACCAAATCTGCATTTTTACTACTACGCTCATGCAAGAGGGGCAAAAACTTAACCAAAAGCAGCTGCGGACCAGTATTTTCTACTTCATTTATCCCTTTATGTTCGTACAAAAGAGAAAAATTGAGAATTAGCCAAGAATGTAATACCACAAATTCTCTGCCTAGAAAACACGGCATAGTTTGCAGTAATCCCTTTAACCATCGCATTAGCTTCTTGATCCAGCGCACAAACCCTGCTCTCGGAGGGGCAGGCGACTCCCCCACCTCACACGGACCCCGGTCCCCGGGGCTGTGGTGGTCCCTCAGCCCCACATCAGGGAGGAGCGATGGCTGCAACTTCAACTAGCTCATGGCATCAGAAGTATTTATAGCTGTGGGCCATTTCTGTTGTCTTTGGGCCAAATTTTTACTTGCATCAGTCCAGGAGCAAGTCAAACAGCTCTTTTAAATGATGAGCATTGGATGTGCCCTGGGGTTCAGGAAGGGGCAAGGAGGACGTGGTCTTCATTCTCTGGGCTCAAAAGTCAGGGAAGGGCTGGGAAGCAGCTTGCTCCATTCTTCAAAGCCCTGGCTGTAACAATACGAGTGGCAGGACTATAAATGAGGGATAAAGCTGCAACTCTAAATGAGTTAGACTTTGCAAAATCCATCTTAGAAAGTGAAATGGGTATTGCTCAAGATGCTCTAAATCACAGAGAGCGATGCGCGGGGAGAGATGCCCCTCCAGAGATGGCCTCATATGTCTTTTCCTCCCCTGTCCTCAGTGACCCCAACAAACTCCTGACCTTGCAGAGCAATAAAGACAAACGCTAAGGAGGAGGGAAGTCTGGCTTCACTTTTGGTGTCGTGTCAGCAGAAGCGGTGCTTGGTTCCGAGGCGATTACGAACGGCAGCCTCGGGCTGCCCTTACATCCCCTGGCAACTGTTTAGTTTTTGTCCGTGGTACCAGCTTCTGCCTCCAGAGCTCAGCCGAGGGCACGCCAGGCAGCGACGGGCTGGTGCCACCTCTGCCGGGATGGTTTTGTCCTGACGGAAGCTGCGGGTGAATCAACAGGAAGCCAAAATCTCTGTTTCTCATAGTGGAGCATCTTCCCCCTTGGTCTGCCTGGCGATTTATGGGGAATGACTGCTGCAGGACGGAGCCGGGTTAGTCATAGGATGGTTTTGTCTCTTCCTAGCAAAGAGCTAAGTATAGAGCAGACTCATTATTCAGAGGCCGTCAGCGATAAGTGCCCTTGGCATCCTTCCCGAGGCCGCGTCCCCCTCCGAGCCAACTTTGCCCCCCCGGCCCCGCACACGACCTGGGGGGGGGGACGGGTCCCATCCCCAGAGACAGGGCTCCTGGCTGTTTATTCCCCACGACAGGCTGAATCCTCCGACACCTGGAAACTGAAACAGGCACCGTCCAGCTTGGCCGAGGGTCCCGTCTCTGGGAAGAGAGAGACCATCAGGTGCTTCTCGAGGGGCTTCCCAACACCAGGAATAATCCACCTTCTCGCTCAGGCTGCGCTCAGCTGTCGCCTGTCATGATTTATTTGTGTTATTGTTAGCTACAACAGTTCCAGATGTATTTTATTGCAGATATAAGCATCTAGGATGTTTTAAAATCTTATTCTAATCTTGGGGTTATTATCTTCTGATATTAAGGAATCACAGTGCCTAATTACAGGCTGTCTCAAGCGCTGTTTCCACGCTGATGAAAAGCCTTCATTAGAGGGGGGAAGCCTGGTCCCTGCCCCGGCACCCGGACCCGGCTGGTGCGCAGCTTTACAGCTGGGATTTAAAACTAAAACCAAGAAACAAACAAAAAAACCCCAAACCCAGCACTTTTATGTGCATCGTCTCCCAGGTTCAGGCACCCACGAGCAGATGGCTTTCTCTCCAGTGCTCAGGGGAGAGAAAAGTGGGGCAGAGCCAGCGCTCCCCGCCGGGTCCTGGCCCGTCACCCCGTGCCTCGTGGCTCCCCAAAAATCCCTCTGCACGTTCTTTCCTACTCCCCAGGTGGCCACGTGCGTGTGCGCCTCGGGAAAGTGAGATGTGTCACCCCGATGCCATCCCAAACGCTCCCCGGGGCTGCCAAGCCCCGCGGGGAGGGGGTTTGAGAAACAATATCCCTGGGCTGCTCCCTCCGCCCGCCCCAAAAACGCCCCCGGAAGGTCAAACGCCCTCCCCGGGGACACTCGCCTCCCTCCAGGATTCCTTCGGAAATCCTGCCTTTGCTTTTTAACCCAGATTTTTTGGAGGCTAAACGCCCCCGGAAGGTCAAACGCCCTCCCCGGGGACACTCGCCTCCCTCCAGGATTCCTTCGGAAATCCTGCCTTTGCTTTTTAACCCAGATTTTTTGGAGGCTGTTTAAATACCTCTTCTTAAAAAAAAAAATAAAATAACCAAAACCCTACCTGGGCATTAGCTGTGTGTGAGGGCACACCCCCACTCCCTCCCGGGGGGTGCCAGCCCCATGGCCCCTTTGCCGTGCCCCCCGCTGTCACCCCCAGGGCTCTGTCCCCGTCACTTCTCCCCAGCAGGGACAATCCCGCTCCCCGAGGTGGATCCCAGAGGCACCCACCGCCCAGTCCTCACTGGGGGGGAAACCCTGGCGTTCCCCAGCCCGGAAAAGGATGTCACCTCTGTCCCTGGGTGATTTTGAGGTCCCACGGGAGGATTTGGTGACCCAGCCCCCCCGAGACACTGCAGATGCTGGGCCCCCGGGCAACGCAGGTTGTTGGAAGCTGTCAAGACCTTGCCATTCCATGTGAAAACACCCCAAACGGCAACAGGTTGTCACTCGACGCTTAACTCACATTGAAATAACAAGAGAAACACGGGTTTGGACAGTTTCCTCTGCTAAAAACATTGCACGTCTGTCTTCTGTGATAAACTGCCCCGGCACATTCTGTCTGACTCGGGAAATCCATTTCCCTGTGCTCGGTGTCCCAGCCTGGGACAGCGGGAAGGCGGGATGGTGGGACAAGGGGATGGGGACAGCGGGGTGGCAGGACAGCAGGACATTGGGATGGTGGGACAGCAGGGTGGCAGGACAACGGGACGGTGGGATAGTGAGACAGCAGGATGGTGGGACAGGGGGATGGTGGGACAATAGGGTGGCAGGACAGCAGGACGATGGGATGGCAGGAGGGTGAGACAGCAGGATGGTGGGACAGCAGGAGCGCAGGGTGGTGGGACAGCCAGACATTGGGATGGTGGGACAGCAGGGTGGCAGGACAGTGGGACAGCGGGGTAGTGAGACAGCAGGATGGTGGGACAGGGGGACAGGGGGACAGGGGGATACTGGGACAGCAGGATGGTGGGACAGTGGGATGGTGGGACATTGGGACAGCAGGATGGTGGGACAGAAGGATAGAGAGACAGCAGGATGGTGGGACAGGGGGATACTGGGACAGCAGGATGGTGGGACAGGGGGACAGACAGCCCCCAACCAGCCCAGCCAAGAAAGGTGACTTGGCCAGAGACCTGCCAGCTCCTTCCACCCCGGGGGGGG